GTCCCGGTCCTGTAAACCGGTCTCGGACCAGGCCTTGGATTTTCGTAAAATTGTAACCGGTGCTGGTCCGTTGGTGTGGTCATGGACCCTATCAGTCCCAATCGGACTCGGTCCTAAGCCGATCCCGAGAAAGGTTGGTCCCATTTTGGTCATCTCTAGGTGCAAAGGCGGACCTATAATTTTTCCCAATGATGCCACCATTTTACTATAAAAAACGAAGCTATAGATTTTTTCAGAAAATGATCACTGGTTTGTTGGTTATACAAACAAGATTTGAGCCAAGGCCTAGAATGGGAAAAATGCCGCACAAACCAACTTTATAAAAAAAAAACGTGTTATGTTATTATAGTTTCAAAATATATATCATCACCCTTGGTAAGTGATTTAAGATTTTTTTTTTAATTACACTCGTCATCAGAGGCATTGAGATGAGAGGGAGCATACCAAAAATTAACAAAACATTAGAGTGAGTTACATCGGTGGTCATGTATTGTGATTTCTTTAAATTGAAATAATTATGGAAAACGTTTTTATGGTTTACATTTTTACACGTCTAAGATCCCCATGTTCCACATTTTTTAACGTCATGGATCCCTGCCTCTAATTCCGTCTAATAACTTTCGTAAACTCACGGGTAACCTTTTTTTTTTTAAATTTGTCTATATCATACTTGATCATCTACAACAGATTCTCCAAAATGAATAAGATGAAATTTTTGTTTTATATATTGCTCCAAGTGATTCCATATATTCTTCTAGATACGTAGAAAAAAACCTTGAAAATATAGAGAATTCTCTAAACCTCTTTAGTTGGGAGAGATAATTGTTATTTTAATACTTCCCACCAATGAAATTTATTTATTAGTTTTTTACATAAAGTTTTTTTAACTATATTGAAATGATAAAATTACAGTATAATTTTATAATGTAGTTGATATTGAAGTGGATCTATATCTTATTTATCACATACCTCTTTAATCGACAAAAAAAATAACAGCTAAACTGATCATCATCACCATAAGTTAACAACCATAAGAAATCATAAGTTTTTTTTACTGCCAACAATTACAATACTTATAAAAATTAATAAAATACAATAAAAAACAAATATAACTTATTTTATAAAATGAACTACATCTTATTCTATTACTTTTTGTACATTCACACCGGTTTTTATTACTTTATCATCCAAAAAATTTAAATACAACCATTTTCGATAGAAATATGATGATTTTTTATTTAATAAAACAATAAAATCTATTAATCATATTATGGAAAGAACAGTGATGATGACAACATAATAAAAAACCACGTACCAGTTTTTAATGCAGCCCAAAGAAATGGGCCTTTTGGCCCAATAAAAACGCCTACTTACTCTTGGACACGCGTAAGGTGATGATTGGTGCTTCACCAATCAACATCTCACAGTTACGTCACGGGAGTAGTTCTTGATCTCAAATCGGTCAAGTTACAATTATACCCACTACACATAGTTGACATCAACAAGGGTATTTTCGGTACCCAATAAATACCAAAATCTACCCACCCTAATTGCCTAGTACCTCCTCCCTCCAGATCTACCCCCATAAACAACACGCCCCTCTCTTCTCATACAAACCCTCTCTACAAAAGCCTATAAATCATCATCTGTTCATATAAAAGAGAAATCTTTTCAAATTTTCACCGCTATTTTTGCAACCCCTTTGCTCGAATTTCACCAATTTCGCTTCTATTATCGTATTGATTCATCTACCCGTTGAGAATTTGAAGAAAACCTAAGTGAGATTTCGCATTATAACAATTATCTTTAGGAACCGATCTTTTGCCTCTTTCAAATAATGTTTGTATGCTTACGAAATTCAAGTTTGTAGACTTGTAAATAGGTTCTTGTTGAAAGGGTGATCAGTTGATTTTGAATTTCGTGATTTTGTTTCGGGATTCATAGTACCCAATTCGTTGATCATGTTCCTGAATCTTTCGTCGTGAAACAGAAATAATTGTTTGGTTGATTATATATTGATGAGTATTTCAAAGTTTTTAGTTTGATTTTGTTTTTGTTTGAAGAGTTGTGGAACGATTTGGCCTAAAATAGTAAAGCGATCGAGAAAAGGGATTTATGGCAGATCAAATGTTGGAGGGTAGCCAGCCAGTTGATCTCTCCAAGCATCCATCTGGAATTGTTCCTACTCTTCAGTATGTCTTATTCCGATTCATGTTCTATCGAGAATGTTTTGTCTTTGTGATGAATCATGAATGTATTTAGCCAAGTAAATTTGTTGGAAAATCTCTACAGGATGAACAATTTTCTGGTCCTAACCATTTTATTGTTTACTTAGTTCAATACTATGAGTTTATTATTTCCCCTTGAAATTGTTAAGTTTTCATGAGTCATATGATTTTGTGTATGCACTTTGGTTTGTGAATCTGTTGCCTATGCATGCAATCACAGGTGTTGACTCAATTTGTGTCTCCTGAAGGCTGTGTATGGTTTTTGTTGAACAGTGTTCATAGGTTGGACAACCCCAAACCCCTTTTGGAGCTTAAGTAAATAGTTAGAGTTAACTAAAGGGTGTAGTATTAACTGAAAGAAACTTCTTAGAGTTATATATATATATATGTATGTATATATATATATATGTATGTATATATATACATATATATATGTGTATGTATGTATGTATGTATATATATATATATATATATGTATGTATGTATGTTCAAAGTCAACATGCATTTTGATGTATATCTCCTTTAATGCAGCAATACAGACCGCAATAATTTACACCCTATGTTTCAAAATATGAAACTAGTTTTGACTATAATGATCCAAGGGTTTCCCATCTAACGTTTGGATGATAATGAGGTCTGATGTTGATTAAAAAGACTAGTAATAGGAATGTTGTTAATCTTCTGACTAAAAGTTGCAGCATTTGTGAATTCTGTACATTTAGGAACATTGTGTCTACTGTCAATCTGGATTGCAAACTAGACCTCAAGGCGATTGCACTACAAGCTCGGAATGCAGAATATAATCCAAAGGTATTCTGTTTTCTGCACTAAATCATTTACATATGCATGTAAATAGTGGCTGTTTTATGATAACCACTTGAAGAAAGCAAACCACTCATAATCTTGCTTGATTCATGAGCTTCTTCAGTCGTTTGATTAATTTTTGTCAGTTCATTCACGATTTTTTTATTGGATACACAATGTATATGCAATATTGCCCTTCATGTGGCATAGGCCTCCCCTAGGGAGCCATATGCGGACCTGTAGGTGGGTTGGGTCGGGTCGGATTGGTCAACATCACAAAGGGTAGCAGCTCAAATAGGCATTTTTCTTATAACATGTCAAAATGGGTGAAGGATCAAAAGATGCTTATATGCATTCCTAACAGGATCTAAATAGATTTCCATTACATACTATAGTTAGGGTTAATTAAAGTGCCTTGCTATTATAAGCTTTTCTTGAATAAATAACTTGGAACTTTGAAGAATACTAAAACTCTTGCTGGTATCCTTTAATCATATAAGATTTTATGTGAGCGATATTTTTTTTAATGTTATTCAGCGTTTTGCTGCCGTTATCATGAGGATAAGAGATCCAAAAACAACGGCTTTAATCTTCGCTTCTGGGAAGATGGTAAGTTTTTTTCCGAATCTAAATGGTTTATTTTTTGCTTTTAAGTCATCTTTTGCAAGTTTAGGCTTTTCTTAGTCCTTATGAAGCTAGAAGAGCGTATGCATGCACTTGTTCATATCTAAAGAAGAATCTTGATATGGTTTCTAGGCTTCGAATAAGACGATTGTTTAACAACTTGCTGCTTCAGGTCTGTACAGGAGCCAAGAGCGAACAGCAGTCAAAACTGGCTGCACGGAAGGTACTTTTTTTGGATAAAGAAAAAAAAGTGCCTTTTTAGCCACAGCCGTTGAATCTAAAACATAATCATTTGACCAATTTTTCTTCTTTTAACCTTGCCTAACGTTGGTGCTTTAGTATGCTCGGATAATTCAGAAACTCGGGTTTCCAGCCAAATTTAAGGTATTCATCATCCTATTATACAAGTCTCCTTTTTTTCCGTATTACTTCTATTTTATCTTCTTCTGTCTATTTTAATACAATTGACATACCCTCTAGGGGTAGAAGTCAGAATTGCGTACATCTCATCCCTCTGAGACCCTATTTTCAAGGGGGATATAATGGGTTTGTTTGGTTTGGTTTGATTTCTTTCTTTTTTAATACAAGATAGTGTTTTCATGGCGACTTGTAGGATTTCAAGATTCAGAATATTGTTGGCTCTTGTGATGTTAAATTTCCTATTAGACTTGAAGGCCTTGCGTACTCTCATGGTGCCTTTTCAAGCGTGAGTTCTTAATATAATGATTTCATTTTTGCATTCTACTTTCTAATCATCCATTGCGGCTATATATTATGCCCACCATGCCTTCTCTCATAATCTTGATTCATTCGTTGGTTGCATTTCTCATTGTTTTACATATAAGTTAGCTAACTTATCTGGTGAATCATTTGTTTTGCATTTGGTACGTGAGACAAAATGGGTCAAGACGATACAAAATATAGTTTCCATGTTTAGCGCAACATTAGACTGAGATATGACAGGACGGACAAAAAAATCGTTTTTAGTTTCCCACAAAATAGGTGGAACAAAAGTCAGAAAGATGAGACAAGATTGGTAAATTACTAAACTACCCATGTCAAATTAAAACTCTAAAACCTTCCAGAATTCTTTCAATTGCCTACCTCACTCTCGTCTTTCGAGTTCATTAAATAGGAGTTCGATTCTTTGGTTCTCTTCCTTAACGTACATTCCACTCAATCACTTCTAATTTGGATTTTGTCATAGCATTAGGTTTTGTGCTTTGCTATGCTCTATTAATGCATGATTGTTGTTCATACAGTATGAACCAGAACTGTTCCCAGGATTGATTTATCGAATGAAACAACCAAAAATCGTTCTGCTTATCTTTGTTTCTGGGAAAATTGTTCTTACCGGAGCTAAGGTGCGATTTATGAACCTGCTGTTGATCTTATTTTCAATTTCATATTTCATTTTGAATACCCTTCTTAGATCTTCACCTATTGTGCATTTTCAGGTTAGAGATGAGACTTATACTGCATTTGAAAATATATATCCGGTTTTGACTGAATTCAGGAAGAACCAGCAATGGTAAGGGGCTTTACTATATTAGATATCATCACACTGCAACAAAATTGGCTTTACAGGACACCAAATATTTCTTGATGTATTAATTGACGGTTTTTATAGGAATTAAGCTTATAGGACCAAACACTTGTGAGGTCATATGTCAAGGTGCTACAGTAGGATCCTAACAAGTTTTATAGGACACTTTTGAGAAGTGTTCTTTGAACACGTTTTTATAGGGCATTTGTTTTTATAAGACATTTTTTCAAATAATGTCATAAAAAAAAGACTAAGGGACTGTTTGGCAGTTGCTGAATGGTTTAGTACAGAATGATTAAGAGGCTCTCATGATATAGTGTAAAATGAAATATAATTGTTTGATAATTGTTTACAGTGAAATTAGGGCGCTGAATGGTTAAGAGAGACCCATGATACAAAATTATTCAGAGGGTTTTAGAACCATTAAGAGGCAGACTTTTTTTTGCCAAACAAGATTTACCTCTTAACGATTCAGATGCCGCCTCTTAATGGAACTACTAAGAGGTAAACAAACAACCCTAATAGTTTATTTAAAAGTGTTTTGGAAAACTTATTAGGACATCCAAAAACGACCTATCAAACTTATAGTAGCATCTTTTGATAGATAGAATAATTGTTTGGTCTTATAAAGTTAAGTTAGATAAAGTCTGTTATAACTTACAGAAATGTTTGACATCATATAAAGGCGATTTTGTTGTAGTAGTGTCATCGTTCCACCTGTGTTGTCCATATGAAACACGACTTGACGTTGTGTCCATTTGCTGCAGATCATATGGATACGTTCGATCAAACAGGCTTATGGGTGATAAGGGGCTCGGATTGGCATTTGGGTTTGAACACGAAAAATGTAAATATGTGATGGAAATCGATAGCCAAAAGAAACTGAAGCTCTTTGTTGGGGTTAGATAAAGTTCATCGGCCCATTTTCTGGGGTCTCCATCCCTTGCTTCTCTGATTATGATCGTTTTCGAACCATTTTGACAATTCACGGGGTTGATATGATTGAAAACAAGCTCTTTTTGGTTATCGAACTTCTTTACTTGTTTATGTGTGAACTTGGAACCGACATTCAAGCTCTAGGCTTGGTGCGGGTGGTCAAAAATAGCTAGCTCTTTTGCTTTGCGTAACGCTTGGATGATGGCTTGGACCCTGGTGTCATTGATGGTGTCTGGTTTGATGAAACGCTTGGATGATGGTTTGGGTCTTGGTGTCGTTGATGATGTCTGGTTTGATGCAATGAAATCGTTCGTTGTTTAGATGTCAAATAATGAAATATTTCTTTTGACAATTGCGTCAGAAAGCTCATTTTTATTTCCATGTCCTAAAACTATGGGGTTGTTTGGTTGGGTTTTCATTAAATTTTATATGAACAAAATTGATGTTTTATATGAGTATTAATTTGTCTGTATATAGGGAAGATTTTTGTTTGCGAGAGTTTTTCATAGATGGAAGACACGTGTTTTTTAATTGGGAGGGCCAGGTTTGGAAAAACCTTGACTTTTTGTATACAATTTTTTCCTTAAAAAAGCTTACTAAATAATCCACTTTCTATATTGTCAAGTCATTATCATGTAGTTATATATGAAACTGCTAACAAGTAGGGGTGTTCATGGGTTGGGTTGATCGAGTTGAAGACATTTGAACAACCCAACCCAACCCGTACGGGTTGGTCAAGTTAGTCGGGTTAATACTTTGGTACATTAAAATATTCTTCTAATCTAGAATATGTTATTTTTCTACTTATAATTTCTTTTTCATCATCAACCATTTGATACAACTTATCTATACTTCTTACATATATCACATTCTGTTAATTTTCTCCATGTTCACAGTTACTAAACATATATACGAATAAGTTATATAAAGATGCGAATAGATTGAAAGTATGTGTATATGAAGAGTATATATGATAGTGTAATTGTCTAATGTACATATTAATAGAAATTCAACAATCATATTAAATCCAAGAAATAAAATAATATCGGGTTCATCGGGTTGGGTTGAGTTCAAATAATAGTAACTCAATATCATTTCAATACCTACGGTTTGACAATTTTACAACTCGATTAGACATCGGGTTGCTTCGGGTTGAGTTATTTCATGTTCGGTTAAATTAGATTGATCGGATTAATCGGGATGGTCGGGTTTTTAAGCACCCCACTAAGCACACCTTGACAAAGCCATACTATGTAGCAAAAACAAACAAGGGTATTTTTGGTATTTATGGATGGTGTCTAAAGGGTTGACTAATTTAGAGAAAGTTGATAAGCTTTGACGTGCGGAATTCAACTAACCCACTTTTATGCCTTTCTTCACCAACCCTATTTAATTTTATATTTTTATTTATTATTATTTAAAAAATTAAAAAAATAGAGTTTTTTTTAAAGTATGTAAAATTTATATACGGTAAATAAACAATCATCCTCTTTATTTATTGTGGGTCTTAAACCCTTGATCTCTGGAGAGACTGAGTTCTACCGTGGTAAGAGTCGTCGTCTTCACTTACCGGGTAAGACTCTTGTTCTTTGTCTCGCTCTTACCGGCTAAGATTTTTTGTCCTTGACATATTCATCCGGTAAGGTAATGTGACTTGGTAAGCACTTACCCAAGTAAGCGTTTGGTAAATGGCCTCTTAATCTGTATGGTTGATTAGCAAGTATGGATTAAGACATGGAATGGTGATAAATGTTATCGAATATGTTAATCTATGTCAGTAGTGATCCAATGCAAGAAAGATGAATTAAACTGATTTTAAATTGGTTAACAAATGGTTTTGTCAACGACAGCCACTATTTGATGAATGAAACCCCGAATGGGAGTTCAACGATCATATATAAAAAGTCGCACATGTGAATGAACAACGTCATCACACAATTCTAAGCGTTAAGAGCTAGAGCTCACACACAAGGTCTTAATGATTAAGTCAAGTGTGAGTAGGGTCGGGACTAAAATGTATGCGAGTTCAAAATCAAGCTTCAAGTCGTGTGTGTAAAGTTGCACATGCTTCTGTTAAACATGACGATGGTTGGATCGATATAGAATGTCAAACTTAATCAATACAATTGTTTCATGGTTGTATTACATGCTTAGAATGCATGTATGATACGTATTAGTGGCGTGCAAGCAAGGTTCTACATGACGTGAGACATGTCATGACAGTGAGGCTAAACCTCAAGTCTTAGGAGCCACGAAATAATTATATTTAAAGAGCAAAATAATTATATTTAAAAGAGCAAATAAACAACCGTCACACGAAAATAATTATATTTAAAAGAGCAAATAAACAACCGTCACACGAAAACTAATTTTCAAAAATAATACAAAATCACATAACATTTTTGAACTTAAATAAAATAATTATCTAATTATACCATTCTAATTTTTAATTCCAGAGAGAATTACGATAAAGCCTATAACCTATCATCGTATCAGTCTTTAACTTGAAAGTCAGTATTATCAAGAAATACAATCTTAAATACGAAACCATCTTTTTTAATAAGTCAGAAGGTCATGAATTTAATTAAATTCTTATTTGAGATTATATATATATATAACTAAGGGCCGTTTACCAAACGTTTATTCGGGTAAGTGAACACCAGTTCATTTTACCTTACCGGATGAATATGGTAAGTATTAAGAATCTTACCCGGTAAGAGCGAGACAATGACCAAGAGTCTTACCCGGTAAGTGAAGGCGACGACTTTTACCAACGTAAATTACCGGGTAAATTGTTGCATACGATACCGTTTTCGTGAACTAAAATCTTATCTGGTAAGTAAATGATAGTGTTAAATTTACCGAGATTACCGGGTAAGTGTTTGATAAACGGTCCCTAAATGAAATTGTTTGTCATCTCTCTACATGTACAGCCAAAGTAGTTGAGGGGCATTTTCGTAAATTACCCCCCAGTAGTCGACCTAGCTAGGGGTGTGATTGGAGCAAGTAGAATGTGTACTGCGCACTCCGCGTATCGTAGAAGTCTCACGCCATTACATTTCCTCTTTTAGACTTTGCAACTCAAAGGCATAAATAAACCCACTTCCCTTTCCTTTTGTCAACGTACAACCCACCAATGCACAAAGTACAACTCGCCACTTATTTTCAACCTCACTTTTAAATCTGGGGGGATTACAGAGTAAACCTCATTTAGTCCCTTAATAAATAGTAAATGGCATAAACAGTCCCTCAACTTTGTAATCACTTGACTTCTAAGAGCATCTTCAAGAGGATTTCCAAAATAGAGATTTTGAGTACATTTTTTGCTGCAACAAATTTTTTTTTATTAATCTGGATATCTAACCCGCTATGCGAACTGACTATTCACAGGACGATCACCTGCTTTGCAGATAGCTCGGAGTCACCGTATTTGAACCTCGCTGGCCACAAGAGATTTTTATTTCTCCTTGGATTTGAACCTAGGACCCCCTGGTACCTTTGACCTTTGGAGCCAAGCTCAAACCAATCAGGCACCACCCTTGTGGTTGCTACAACAGAGTTTTCAAAATGGAGAAAGTAAAACAAGGCATGAAGTTCTCTAATAATAATTATCATAATATTGTTACCAATAAGAAATGTTGAAATTAAATGTAAAAAATAAAAATAATAATATTTTATTAAATATTTTAAAAATAAAATTGATGTTGTAGTACCCAAAACAGAGTCCATTTTGAATTTTTTATTTATTTAAAAATCTGTTGAAAATGCTCTAATTTACTAGCGACAAAAAATGATTCGATACTCACCAAGATTGATAAAACAACATACCAGTATTATTTTTGTGTATATGCATTTTCTAAATGGTTGTTAGTGACGTAATATTTTCTGAATCAAAAATATGATTAGATTCAAAATCAAATAATTATGTGATAAAAGTTAAAAAATAATTATATATTTTTTTTGATTAACCTAGAAATTCAACCCGCTATCGAATCGACTAATTCCAAAACGATTACTTGCTTTGAGGTTAACCTGAAGTCATCGCATTTGAACCTACGTGACCACAAGAGGATTTTTATTCCTCCTTGGATTTTGAACTTATGATCTTCAGACACTTTTGACCTTTGGAATCCAATCAGACACCATCATTGTAGTTAAATAATCTTATATTTGGTCTTAATATTAAGTTTTTTCGTTATTTGATATTTTTGAATTGATTTTTAATTCTAAATGATTTAAATAAAACTAGTTTTAACTGAAATTACAGAATGAGATATTACAATTTCAAGTAGTAATATTAAAATTTATTGCAAATTCAGGCATATTGTAAATAAATTTGTAGAACATAGTGGAAAGGACACAATGAATTTCTTGTGGTGTATTTGGAGTCAAATGGAAAACTTGAGGGACTGATTTTGTAAATTAAGTCCTTATCAAACGATGGATCGTTAACGACTTTACTGAAAACCATATTTGACGGCCTTCGTTTCTCCATTTCCTTAAGAAGAAGAATCAGATTCTCTCTCTCTCTCTCTCTCTCTCTCTCTCTCTCTCTCTCTCACACACACACACACACATACTATATAAGCTTTTCGGACATAGAGAACACACTTCTTTCTCTCTGGTGTCACCGGCGACGGGTGAAAAAGGTATGTTCTGTGACGTCAGTTCTGCTGGTTTCAATGGTGATGTGTGAAGATGATTATATAGATTATATATGATGTATGTATATCTGGGAATTTGTGAGCGCTTTGGTTAATTGGATGCTATATATGTGGAAATAATTAGGTTTTTTTATTTTAATTTTGATAATTTGACAAATTGACTGTACTATTGGTTCATCGGCACTTATTCCGGATCTCTACTTGCTATTAAGTGTTTGATTCGTTTTATTTCTAGGGTTACTGTGACTGATAGACCTACTTTTAGCTCCTTTACCCTGCAAATTAGCAGATGCTATTTACTTGAGGTATTTGTTAGGAAATATTTTCTGTTTCTTTTTTGTTAATTAACTTTTAGAGGTTGTCTGGTTTTCAATGATTGTAAACATGCCATGAAAATAAATAAAATTAAACGGAGTTTTCTAGGTGTAGAACCCTGTTGAGAATCGTAGGAGTGGAAAGGGATTTTTGCTGAACGCTGTTCATTATTCTTGATAGATTGGGATCTTGCTTTTTCTGTTTATAATTAGCTCAAAAAGAAATTGGGGTTCCAAGCTGTTCCTTAGATTTCTGAACCGCACTTCAATTAGAAACATGATTGATTTATTTACAGATGTATTGTATTTATAACTAGGAAACAATTATGTGGCTGTGTTCAATTACCTTAATTTTATGATTTAAATTGATATTGCACCAAAGGAATACTCTGTGCATATGCAAATCTTGAAGTTTTATTCTCTGCGATTTTGGTCCCTTTGTATTTCAGATAAAAGCAAGTCTTTTGATCACCATTAATTGCATCTAATCTCTTTTGTATCTGTGCTTACATCGTTTATCATGTGTTGGTTGGTTGCTTGGTTGGTTGATGCTTATTTTTACTCGGTTTCTCCTTCACCCCAAAAATTCGTTGTAAATGTAAAGATTGAATTGATATATTTTAGCTATCTATTACAAGCTTTAATCTTCCATAGTTTCAATAGTTTTCTTGACAATCATCGTTCTCATGAATATTCAGATTACAGAGAAATGCTATAGGGTCTTGGAGCGAAAACAGTTGGTATCTTATAGTAGAACTGGTAGTGGGTGCTGAAAGTAGTTCTTACACATTTTGCACCATTTTGCATGTGAGCAAAGATGGGGTCTGCTTGTTGTGTTGCTGCTAGAGATAGAACTATAACAAATGGGTCCAGTAGTGATGTTATCCCGAGGAATGTCCGGTATTCTCCATCATGGAGCGTCCGGTGGGATAATCGGCGGCGTGTAGCAGGGGAAGAAACTTCTATGAATTGGTCATCTGATGGTGTTGGCACAAATGACAGGTTGGACAATAAATCTCAGACAACTGTTGGAACTGCTTATGCATCAGAAGAGGGTAGTCCATTGGAAAGTTTCCGAAACCTCACTTGGCAGAAGTCCTCACCTTCTGAAGGATATACTGTTCCTCAGTCAGGTAAATTATCCTAGTAAATAAAATATATCATGGATTTAGATGTTCCAGTGATACTCAGAACCTTTAATCTTGTTGCCATTACTCAGTCAGTTACTTGGTGTAGTGTTCCACAATACATCAATAGATTTTGGGTTCAAGTTTAGTGTAAATTTACGTAATGCCTTATTTCGGTAGATTTTTTCTTTTGCACTTTACACACTCAATCATTTAAGCTCTGGTACTGCTATTATTTATTCTGCAAGAAAGCATGAAGCCTAGTTGTTAAAAGGAAAGCCTCTCAGAGATTATTGGATCATGGGTGGCCCTGTTTCCCTTCTTTTGTCTGCGAGAGTGTCCTGGATTGTTAGTTACAAGGATACAGTTTGTCCACATGAGCTGAAATGATTCAAAATTTTCCTTCTTGTTATTGGTTCTCTGGATGGGTTTTGGAGGTTATAAGCAGTGGAATGAGTTTTTTACATTGGATATAACTTGGAGTGCCTTTCCCATCCATATGGTGTGTGCGCATGTACTGATTATGTTTGTTATCTAGGAAGTAATATGTTAGACTTGCCTCTGGCTTGTAGCTCAGTTGGCAAAGGGGTGGGGTGACTTTACATAAATACAAGACAGGTCCTGGGTTCGATCCCAGCCGTTATGTGAGCCAAAAAATGGCCCCTCACATTGGTGTCCTTGGAGGTGGGTTCTGTGTGGGGCAGGTTGGGGTTGCTAGTAATCAACTTTTTGCCCAAATGTTTTAGACTTAAAGCCATCAAGGCAAAAAGCAGAAAGGGTGTTGAATAAAACAAAAGTTTGGTGATAGCAGTTGTACTATGCATGGTACAACAATCAATAGATTTCTGAAATGACATAGTGATACTCTCATCTTTACAATGTACGATATGGACTACTTGGGATCAGTGGAATTCTAAAACTACATAATCATAAGCGACTGTTTTCATAGTGTTTGTGTGCGAGAGAGAAAGAGAGTGAGAGGGGCAGAGAGAGGGAGCAACTTTACACTCAACAAATTTACTTGTTTAAACCGCAAGAGTGGTAGTGTGGTGGATAAGGACAAGGAGATGATAAGATCAACCCGGGTTTGAATCCTGCCATCTACGTACACGCTTGTGGCCAGTGGAAGATTTACCTTAGAGGGCGTTTGGTTTGATGGAACGGTTGTGAGGGATTTCGATTTTGTGGAAGGATTTGAATTGGAGGGGTTTGGATTTGGAAGGATTTTGAATTTTTGGTGTGTTTGGTTTGTAGGATTTGGAATGGAATTGAATTCCATTTTTTATAAAAAATTATAAAAACAAATTATAAATAATTATAAAATATAATTGAATTATCTTTTATTAGTTAATTATTATAAAGCAAATGTTTTCAACATATTTTAAAACATTATTGCACACAAATCCCACGAAATTCCAACAACCCCCATGTGATTTCTAAAAGCAATCCCTCAAACCAAAAATAGGATTGGAATGGAATTGAATTCCAAATCCTATCCAATCCTACAAACCAAATGGGACCTTAGGGTTGTGGACGAAGCCTACAGTTGCAATTTGCCATGAATTAGTATGTGCAAAGCCTGAAATTTGCTTGTTTGTTGTATCATATCATTTAGACAACATGGTTCAACCCTTGTAACCAATGTTTTCTCATTGAGTAGTAATGGTTTGTAAGACTTTGAAACATGTAATGAGTAGTCAATGTCTCTGTCCTATTCATTGATTAATGATCCACACGAAATTCCTAAAGTTCATCTACAAGAAAATCATTAGGACTTCTACAAGTCAAAATGAAAAAAAAAATGCATATTAAGGGGATGTTTACCAAACTCTTACTGGGCCATCAAGGACCGAGAATCTTACCCGGTAAAAGGCAAAGCAAGGATCGAGAGTCAAATCTGGTAAGTAAGGATGGTGACTCTTACCAACAATCCATTTTGATGGCCGAGAATGTTCCAATAATGCAAGTGAGGGTGGTGACTCTTGCTGGTGCTTGCTTACGCGGTAAGCGTTTGGTAAACGACCCCTAAGCATGTGGAATGTGCTCATCAATTTATAGCTAAAATGTTTGTGCCATTACAAGTGCATATCTGCTTGCAAAATCATCAAATCTAAATATAAACAAACCCTCGAGATATGTACCCTAACATATTCTATATATAGACTAATAGATCATCCACACCAAGCATGTATGCCTACTCCAATCATATCCATATAATATTGTTAACTTTATTAAGATGGGCATTAAATTTATATCGACTTCAAAACTGTTAGTTTCTGGTTATTAATGTATGGTCTTCTTTCATATCATGATATTATCTGAACAATCAGGAAGAGTATTCTATGTAAATGCTATCCTAATGTGGTTCCTGGAATTGTATATCCTACGAAGTTTGAATTGTTACTTCATAATATGGAGACTTGGATACTTTTCAGTAATGGTAAAACGTAATACGTGTAAATGATAAAGAAAAAACTAGTTATTTCCATTCTTTTTTTTTGCATTTATGGATATTCTGTTGCAATAACTTTCTGAGCCTTAGTTAGTTATCTGTTACAGTCTTGTCGCTTCTATAAAACACATATATGCCTTTGATGCTTAGTGCCATGTCTGACGTTCTTCTACTTTCCTTGCAGACCAATCCGTCTCTAAAAATCCTTCAGAGGTAAGTTACTGATCGATTGGATGTTTTATGGAAATCATACATTTATCATCTTCTGTTTTCCTTGAATTTTTGTTTCCCTTTATGCATTTTGTAGGTGAAGGTGTCAAGGGAAACTCAACTTGCTTCAGAACCATCTCCAACCAAGATGTCACCATCCACACACTCGGTTTCTTCCCTTTCGGCATCCCCTTTGTCTTCTTCACAAGGTCATTTCCTTCCCCCCTCAAGATGGCATGGTCGTTCCCCAGGGCACCATTTAATGCGTCAGGTATCAGATAGCCGGATTCCAGGGATGAAGTCACCGAATTTCTCAATTTCTGAAGAAGGGTCTCCCTTTATGTTCGCTGGGTGGAGCAATGAATCAAATAGGGGGTCTCATGGTGGATCTTCAGATGGTTGGTCTGTACCTGCATTTTCTGAGCTCATGGCAACCTCTCACAGAGAGAGATGGTCTTTTGATAGCGAGTCTCTCAACTTTAGTCGTGATAAGATAAGCAGATCTAGTGGGCGGGTATCTTCTTCTCCTTCCATTGATATGCAGACATGTGGCGTTTGCTCCAAGCTTTTAACTGAAAGATCTTGTTGGGGAAGCCAGAAAATCATAGCCACTAATGAGCTTGCTGTTGTGGCCATTTTGATATGTGGGCATGTTTATCATGCAGAGTGCTTAGAGAACATGACAGCTGAAATTAACAAATATGATCCAACATGCCCTGTTTGTACTTTTGGGGAGAAGCAGGCTCTCAAGTTGTCTGAAAAAGCACTGAGAGCTGATTTGGAGTTGAAGGCTAAGATGAACAAGAAATCAAGAAGCCGGGTGGTGGATGGCGATATGAATGATGGTATTGTTATGTTTGATCATGATAAGAGGAGTGGACATGAGGGCAGAATCCCCAAGATCAGCTCAAGTTCTAGCATGAAGACCTCTGTAGGAAAGCCTTTCTTAAAGAGGCACTTCTCTTTTGGCTCCAAGGGCAGCCGATCATTGTCAGAGACTAGTTTTTCCCGGAAAAAAGGATTTTTCTGGGCAAAATGAAGCAAGGAGTGACCTCTAGAAGGTACCATACTACTATGATATTGCATAAATTTGAACTTACACTGTTAATTGTTCGTTAAACATCTTAATCTGTTACAATGCACTGGTCTGTACTAAAAGGAGGCGATAATAGAGGATAGGGGATAACTATTAGGGTGTGTTTGGTAGGCATCATGTTTCACGTTCAACGTGGAGATGAGACAGGACCTGAATGGGACAAAAATCCATTTTTTTCTGTCCCTCGGTCCCACCAAAATAGGTGGAACAAAAACCAAGGAGATGAGATAATTGATAAATAACTAAATTATCCATGTCAAATTAAAACCCTAAAAACTTTCCACAAGTCTTTCACCTGCCTACCTTACTCTTGCCCATCCAGCCCAGTCTAGTCTAGTCCAATTCCATCCTCGTACAAGATGCACCCTTTAAATCTACATTGTTTATCCACAACTAAGATTCAAACATTATGTTTGTGCACCCCCGCCATCATTTAGTGTGCCACTAGGTTTACATGTGACCATTGTACATGGGTGAATATGTGGAATCCTGTTAAATTACTCTCTAAGAGAACCCTCGAGGAGAAAAGGGAGATTCCAATATATATTGAGGATAAATAATTCAAGTCTAGCCGATGTGGGACTTCAAAAATACGTTTTTGCATCCAATGCACAACTAGGAAAAGTGTTGATGTGAACATTGAATATTTACATGTTGTTTTCACGGAAACACACTTAAAATTTGTGTATATCTTAACACCCCCACCCCCACCNCCTCCACCGACCCACCCAAGCACCCCACCTACCTCCGGGTGGGATATACTGGGATAGTATTGGTGTTGGTTTTTGGCTTCGGTGTGGATTTACATGTTATGTTTTAATACGAAAGAGCTCTTTGACATTGGTTTCTTGGTTAATAATGAGCGTCTTTCTTGACCTGTAGACAGTTTGCGCGAGTTTGGATCAGCGGGTGATTTGGTCTTCGAAATCTGTATCCGAGGTACGAATAGTAGGGGGGGGTTAAAGACGGTTTCTGTAAAGCAGGTTTTGAACAACACATAGATGACACACCAGTACCAGCATGGCACCATCTTGGTGAATGAATTTAGTTGGTACATATAGCTGCTAGTAGTATTGATTGGACTATTATTACTGCAAACATATTCTTTTTTAACTTGTGTTCTGTTCTGTTCTGTAAATTTAAAATCTCTTTGTTTTTCTTGCATTAAAAATGGAATGACCAAAAAAGGGTGGTATTTATATGTGCTCTTTCATTTATATGCTTCCATCTCATGTATCCCTTTTGATTTACTTCTTACTGTAGCATATATATATATATATATGTATATGTATATGTATATATAGATATACATATACATAGAGAGAGAGAGAGAGAGAGAGAGAAAGGGGTTCAAACGAGAACACTTTCATTTTACGAAAATGCAACAACACTTTTGTCGTATGTTATAATAGACGTGACGGGGCTTGGGGGTATGCATAAGGTTGTATGTTTCTTTGATTTATTAGTATCATCTATGATTGAATATATGGTACACTTTTTGCATTTTCGTAAAATAGAGGTGTTCTCGTTTAGAGAGGATCAAACGAGAACATGGTTAAAATAAGAGAACATGAAAATAGTAAAATCACATGTGATTTTGCATGGAATTACGAACCACAGTCAACGCAAGGGTAAGCGAACGACTTGGCCTATGATTTTGTGGAAAAAAGTCGTGAATCACATGTGCTTTAGTCGATAAAATATCGAATACAAAGCAAATAAGAGCTTATTGCGTGACAATTGATCTCATCGTAGAGATGTTTTTTTAAAACCTTAAATATTTTAAAAATTCAACCATATATTTTGCAAGTATTCATGATTAAGATCATGATAATATCTATAACAAATATCATGAGTTACGACATATAATCATAATGACTAACATTCATCTGAATACTTATAAGTCAGAAATTGATGGTTTTTAGGTTCTAAAAATATTTAAGATTACTAAATAAATATATAGATATTTTAAATACAAACCATCTGATTAGTAACCAATCTCTACTGCTCATCTAGTCTATTAGATATCATAAATATCTTGATTCTTATCTGATTTAAAACGTTAATTATAATTAATAGACTCTGATCATATTCCATAAATATATACATCATAAACTGAAATGAAAAATGACTACTGAAATTGCATTGTACATCCAGAATGATCATTCTGCCCGTCATTCCCAAAAGAGGGAAATGGCTCAAATAGATACCCACTAATGGACTATCAGGGGGGAAGGTGAACGAGAACCGATCGAAAACCTGAACCGCTTAACCCTTTCATACTCGATTCATTAGGGTTGGGGTAAATAAACTCATAATAATAATAATAAATATTTCATTTAGTTGGTTTATATGGTTTTTACTAATATAAGAATTTGTATTTGGAACGAACTCAATATATAAATACTTTTTTCATAATAATTATTGCTTGAAAAGGATCGTCGCAACAACCGTCATGGCATGTTGTGGCTCAAGGCTTGTGTCTTGCACCAGGTTAAGTCCGAGGCACGTCATGGTGTAGTACACGGTTTTTGTAACACGATATTTGATTTTACTTATTTTTTAGTGTCTTATTTGTTAGTTTTTTATAACTTAATTTAAATTGTTTATTATCATTGATTCATTGAGTAATAGTGAAAACATATATTTATATATAGGGAAAAGTTTAAAAAAAACTCGACAAACTTTTTCACTTTGAATGATTTAGTCTCCTAAACTATTTTTTGATTTAAAAACCACTGAACTTTCTCATTTTAAATTATTAAGTCTCTGAACTATTTTTTGAATTAAAAAAAACCATTAAACTTTCACATTTTGAATAATTAAGATTTTGAATTTTTTTTATAAATAAATAAACCATCGAACTTCTACTAGTCGGTTAATATAGTTTTTTTAGGTTAAAACGATGTAGGTAAACAATTTATAAAAGTGCAACGGTTTATTTAATAAAAAAAAATTTAGGAACTTAATCAATCAAAAAATTTAAAAAGTTTAATGATTTTTTCATTAAAGAAGATATAGTTTAATATTTTTCATTCAAAAAAATATTTCAAGGACTTAATCATTTAATAAAAAAAAGTTTAATAGTTCTTTTATTTAAAAAAATATTTTAAAGACTTAATCATTTAATAAAAAAAAGTTTAATGATTTTTTATTTAAAAAAGTTTGTTGAGTTTTTTTAAACTTTTATATTATAAAAATTTAAAAAACATAAAATATAATAAATAAAATTTAAAAATTTAATAAAATGTAAAAAAAGACATTTGATGTTTCAAAAAAGAATTAAGTTTTATTTTAAAATTATATTAATAAAATATAAGTTTGTTACACCTTATTTCATATGACAAAAATAAAACAAACTTGTTCTACTTTGTTCCACTATGTTATTGTCAATCATATAAAATATAAAACAAGGATCACTATCCTGTAGAGTCTTGTGCAATGTACGAAAGGGCAAAGGCGCAGTTAACCTGGTCAGTCGGCCGATGGAAGTGAGTCATGCTATATTGTTCGTATGCGTGGCACAAATTGTATGACACGTTTAGCCTCCTAATCACATGCAAAAACTGTCACCGTTTCAATTTGTCTATTTATGGATAAAACGACAAAAGCAGCCCCCATAAAAACCGCAACTCCGCCATTAATTTTACATTCGGCTCTTTATTTCTTCAACTATCCATCTTTAAGGTTTCATCAAATCCAAAAATGGCAGATATACGTGATGAGCGCGGCAACCCGGTTCAACTTACGGATGAACGCGGCAACCCTGTTCAACTTACCGACGAACGTGGTGTTCCCATACATCTCAGCGGCGTCGCCACCGCCACCACTCACGGTGGCACCACCATTGGGTCAGAGCTCCATGATAAGACATGGCATGATCACGCCACCTTGGGTTCCAAGACGCACGGCGGAACCTATTTTGCTCCGACGCCGGTAGACTACGCCAAGCGTGGCGGCGAGGCAATCGCTAGTGCCGGTGCAGCAACTATGGGTGTGGCAGGCGGAGATGGAAAAGCTGCTACTGGTTCTGTTACCGGCGGTGGAGCACCGGTGAGCCATACCCAGGCTCATGGTGCTGGAGAACATGAGAAACAGTTGGAACGATCAAGCAGTTCTAGCTCGAGTTCGGTAAGATTAAATTAACCCATCTTAATTCGATCGAGTTTTGTTCGATTTTCATAAAAATAAATAGAAATAAACTAATTTCCGGTGGCGTATAGCAGGAGGAAGAAGGAAGAAGAAAGGTTTGAAGGAGAAAATAAAAGAGAAACTTCCGGGGCACGGCGAGAAAGCCGCACACAGCAGAGACACCAGAGCAAGCAGCGTCACCACCGGAGCCGGAGCAACGGCAACGGCCGGTGAGCAACACCAGGAGAAGAAAGGTCTGATGGATAAGATTAAAGATAAACTTCCCGGCCATCATTGATCATTATCATAATTAATTATATTTATATATAGTTTTTTATTTTTGCTATTTACAGTATGGTTTTTGTGTGTGTGTATAGCGTGTAGGTTGGATTGTGATTTTCAGTATCGTTTCTAATAATTAATACGATGGTTTACATTTTTATTTTAATACCAAATTATTTGGAAAGGTGGTTCATTTTTTTTTCATTAACCTATGTGAGCCGACCAATCACGCCCAATCACCAGTTTTACAGGTAATCTGAGTGACCATATTTGAATCTACGTTGTCGTAAGAGGATATTTATTCATCCTTGAATTTGAACATAGACCTCCAAACATTTTTTATTTTTAAAGTCTAAGGTTAAACCAGACACCAGTTAGATGGTTCATTTATATACCCATTATTTACATAAATCATATAAAACAATGTCAATACCTTTTTTAGTCTAGTGAATATTTTGATGGTTTTTATATAAAACGTTGATTCTAACAAGTAAAATATTTAAATTATAAATTCTTAATTTTATGAGTATCTAATTTGTAGAAGTGGAATCATTTTTTTCATTTGTTCGAGTTTGCAAATTGTTTTATATGTAAACGATCACATGATATTATAAATTATTATTATTTAATGAGAAATATGTGTCAAAACATATAACAAATTACGTTACGGGTACACTGTCGGATTTTTGGTATGATATTAAGGCCCAATGGGCCGTCTTCAGTTTGGTTGTTTCTCCTGATTTGGGTCCCATGGGCTATGGGTTAATTTAAGCTAATTTGCATGATCAAATCCAACGATCAGGATAAAGTTTGAAATGGGACGGCTAACTTGCCGGACCCAATGTATACAACACTTTAAAAGAGAGGATATGAGGGATGATAGTGTGAAAAAAAACTTTCTTAATTACTTTAAATCTCATGTTCATTTATGAATTGCGTTTTAGAAGAAAATTAATCTGATACACCTCATTAATATTGACATTCAATTAGAATTTGATAATGGTGAAAATATCTTCTTACGCTTCTCACTAGAGCTCAACTCAGATATTGATGCGCCTCATCAATGTTGACAATGTGTTTTGGCTCAAATAAGATTGTCATGACCATCTTGTGTTAAATCTGGATTAAAATTTTAAGTTAATTATAAATCTTAAGTTGCGAGCTACTATTAAACTTTTTCATCAACTAATCCCCTCAAAATAAGCACGTACAGGTAACTATTTACTAAACGATCCCTTAAATTATATTTTAACTATCATCAAGGCGTTTTTTTTCATAAACGATAATGTGTAAATAAAAAAAACGTGTACGATGAAAATAGACGAAGGATGATGACATACCATGTGTTTTTAAGCAACGAACACCTAACTGCAATTACATACGTCAAGAATCCTTTGACACATTCTATTACTTTGCTCTCAAATCCGATTGTTTTAGTGTTTAATACAATCTTATGAATATTGTTGCAACCCTTGGTTCCACCTAAGTGTTTGGATAACGACAAACCAAATGAGCCCAGATACCCCCCCAGTGGTAGATTTGGGTACACAGCTACCCCATATCTGTTCAATGGAGATGCAGAAGTGGCCTTTGCTAGGGTCAGAGATAAGGTCTGTATGTATGTATATATGCTTCTACAAACTCCCATTTCAAATGGCGAAACGGGGTTTTTAATCTATAACCGCCTTTTAACTTGGCAGTTATTGCCACGGTAAGGTAAGATTAAGTAGATAAACATGGGTGGCAATATTAATGCACTAAATCTTAATCAGAATTCCGTAATTAAGCATACTTGGGGTAGACTAGTACCAAGACGAGTAATCCTGGGACTTGATTTCTGATACTCGTGTGATAACAGGTAAAAGTTCCACTCTATGGATGTGACTGTTATGCGTATGCGCTACTAGCTCTGCTGGGCACGTGGATCTTGTAATCGAGTCTGGTCTCAAGGTGAACAGTGGTTGACAGAATTACATCATATATTATTTATAGTGAAGTGTTGGGTCTGATTTGATGGTGGAAAGATGTATATTTTCATTTTCAGCCGTACGACTTTCTATCACTGATACCAGTACTAGAAGGTTCGGGTGGGGTGATAACTGATTGGAAAGGCCAACACAACATTCAGCTGGGAGGCTTCTTCCAACTCACCACCCACAAGTAATAATATGCCAATCTCCTAATTGCATTTTTACCTTTTACACATTATTGGATGAATGATCCCTAAATTCTTAATTTTTGTTCGTGGTGGTTGTATTAGGTTTTAATGTGGCGGCAGCCGGGGAAAAACAACTTATCCAGGAAGCTCTCCGTTCTTTAAAGTGGCACTAGCTTATTATGTAATCGAAATAAGCAGGCAAGTGTATCATATTACCATATTTTCAGTAATATTTGTTAATCTTATAATAATAGTCTGAATTTTCGAGCATTATGCAGTCAAAATCATAAGAAAGACCGTAATATAACTGATAAAAGCGGGTATAAACATCAATGCATGATCAGACGATTGAATAAATTGAAAAGGGGGCAACTGAATCTTTTACAGGACAAGTAAACAATAGTCTCCTTATAGTGTACATTGATAATAAGATACCTTCTTACTCTTTCCCAAAATCAGCATTGTAATGAGCACTTGATTCGAGCTTCTTAGCCTCGTTCAGTTTACGAACAGCCTGAAACATTATCCAATCTCACAAACATTATTAACCAAAACATCAAACACCCTGACCTACAATCGATATACAGAATTCAACTTCATAAATAGATGTTTCAAAAAGCATCAAAGGGTGTTGTATTTTTATCTTAAATCCTCTTTCCCTTTGGAGATGGAAACTACAAGCAGAATAAGGACCTAGTGCAGGGGTGCAAATGACATGCAGGTTTTGTGCCCAGTAATAACTTCATAATTGAAACTAAAAGAGTGAGAGAAATGGTGTCTCAAGTTAACATCCTGCAATCATACATTTAGAGAAAGTTATGATCACAGTTACCTTCATGAAATCTTCATGGATAACATAATCACGTTCTGCACGGATTGCAGACATACCAGCTTCGGTGCATACATTACGAAGATCGGCTCCATTAAACCCCTAAAGAAAAACGCCATTCATCAAAATTTCTCAAAACAAACCCTACTACAAATAACCATAGATTTACAGCATACCTCAGCAAGTTTAACAACTGCCTCATAATCAATTTCACCATGCTTAGCAATCCCAGCAGCATGAATCTTAAGGATTTCCATTCTTGATTGCTCGTTTGGCAGTGGGATCTCTATTTTCCTGTCTAATCGGCCTGGACGAAGAAGAGCTGGATCCAGAACATCCGGTCTATTTGTCGCCATAATCATTTTTACCTAATCACATCCACCATATAACAACATCATCTCTCTACGTAACGCAAGTTTAACTAATTTTCCAACATGATTAAGAAGGTGTAAGAAAATAAGAGAATCAGGATGGCAGAGGATGAACATGACTATAAATTTCTTTCGACAAACCTTTCCAAGCTGATCAAATCCATCGAGCTGATTGAGCAACTCCATGAGCGTTCTTTGAATTTCACGGTCAGCACTAGTTCCCTCACTAAATCGGCGTCCACCAATGGCATCAATCTCGTCCATGAATATGATGCAGGGCTGGAAGAATTAGCAAACAAGCATAAGAACACTTGTTAAATATGGATTTAAGGAAAATAGGTCCTTGGTCAATACCATGTTTAACATAAACCACTGAACTACCTGATACAACCAAAGGAACTTTGGAAGTACCATGGTCATTCACACAGTTTATTCAGCACAACAAACAAACAACAATTTAGCTTAATCCATACAGAACTTAATGAAAAACCAACCAAACAGTCGCTAAAGCTATAAGCAGTACCTGGTGATCACGTGCGTAACTAAACATTTCCCTGATCAATCTTGCACTCTCTCCTATGTACTTATCAATAATGGCACTTGACACAACCTACACAGGTTTCCCAAATGCAAAAAAATGGTCACAAGTGAAGAGCCAAATTGTGGAAACAAAAAAATGAATAATGAAAAAAATAAATACCTTCAAGAAATTAGCATCTATGTTGCTAGCAATTGCTCTAGCAAGTAATGTCTTGCCAGTACCAGGAGGTCCATAGAGAAGAACACCCTAACAAGAAAAAAAAATGCGACTTCAGCTAAGTGTAATCCAAGTCTAGCCTCAACAGAAGCAATATATTTCTAAAATCCAACAAGATGCTGTACAGAGTTTCTAAGATTTAAATATCTTAAAGTGATTAATATGTACCTTGGGAGGTTTAATGCCCACCCTTAGGAAAAGCTCGGGATTCATCAGAGGCAATTCTATTGATTCCCTAAGTTCCCGAATCTGATCTGATAGCCCTCCAACTGCAGAATAGCTAACATTCCCGGGATCTTCATGAAGCATGTTATAAACGACTGGATCAACCTGCAAATACGTTACGAGTATGCTAGTCAAAACAAGTGGGCAAACTATTATTCACTGAGAGAATTAGTTCAAAAATTATTTAGCACATATACTAACCTCACGTGGCAGTGCTCGCATAATGGTAAGCGTTGTCATATCAAGAACCACTCTAGTCCCAGCGGTTAGTTTTTCCTTGTCTACTTTACTTCGGCACCCAACTACATACCTTGGACCACTACTGGCTTTAACTATCACTGTGACATTAAGGGACATTTATTAGTTTAAGAACGTTTGTCATGTCCCAAGAAAAGATGGCCCGGTATTATTGACGATGGAAACATTACAAGGTAATGCACTCTAGTTGTTTGATTTTGAAAAACTTTGCAAGGCATAAAAGTGTCTGAAAATGCATTATCATGGTTGCTAAGCTTGAGAGTTATTCTTCGATAAACAAGATCAGAATCCAATGCAAGTAGGTGATAACTTTGATGTACTGATGAAAACCAAATAGAAAATTGAAGTAATACATCGCTCGTTGTCCAGAGGCCTGAGAACCTCGCCTATGATCTGTCCAACACTTTGAAGAGACTTCAAATCATCTTCTGTTTTGGCATAATCTTTCTTTGTACTCCGCAAAGTCTCTCTCACTGCAAACATCAAGTTTGCTGTTGTTAATCTAGCATTGTACACTCACATAGAACAAGATCAAATAACGGAAATATGGAAATAGATCATTGTCCAAGTGATCATAAATAATCTCTCAATAAAAAAGAGTTGCAGTCGGAGAAATGTCACAACTTGTGAGAAAAGCTATGACAAGCATAAATATCAAATAATCTTAGAGAAAAAGAAAATAATTATATAGGCTCATGTTCATCTATGTTTTAAGTAGCATAAAACATTATGCAAAACAAGAAGTATCTCGGATCTCGTAAAGTCAAACCTTCCTTTTCAAACAATAATCAAGTCAGGCAAACCCAGAACCATTGAAAGAAAGATATCAGTGATATATGGTTAACAGAAGAGAGCTACACTCACACCACCACGTCAGAAGTATATAAACCAGAATATCAAAGCAACTATTTATATCAGATAACCAACATGATACCTAGAAACGATTTCCATAGATAAGCTTAACAATAAATGTCAGAGACTCCAACTTCTCATCCCGCAAAGAAAGCAATGCAAAAGATCAAGTATACTTGTGAATCCTAGTTGACACCATTTGGACATTATTCATAACTAGTTGTGCACCCATGTGATGCAACCAAATGCAAAATTATTGTAAATCGAGAATGAAAAATTAAATAATTCCTCACTAAAAATCCAAATATTTATTGAACCTTTTTACACTCTATAAGCAGAGAACAAGAAAGAAAATGTCAGATGCTTGAGTTTTATTGGGGAGATTTAAAAATAAAGCCTTGGACTCTTTTTATAGGCATGGAATCCACTACACCTTTTGTCGCTCCATGTATGTGGATGATTTTCTTTATAATTTAGCCAAAATTTATCAACGAACTATAACTCTTAATGCATCAGTAATTAGTACTTAATGTGTAATAGATATTGTACTCTTGAAATTTAATAGTTTTACCTAATGATTTAAAAAGATAGTATAGATAGTGCCAATGGTTAGAGGTTTTTTGGTTGGTTTTCCATTTAAGTCCTGTGTGATAAAGTTGCCTGTGGGGATTAATCTGTCTGTAAAGATTGAGAAAAATTTTGTTTGGGAGTGTTTTCTCATAGATGAAAGGAGCATGTTTTTCAATCAGCAGGGGAAAGTTTATGAAAAAAATCTTGGCTTTCTACATAAAGCTCACTCCTAGAAGCTTACTGAATAAGCCACTTTCTGTATCATTAAGCCACTACCAAACAATCATGTATTGCTGGCCAAATAAGCTGTGAGTCCCATTAAGCTCATTAAGCTGCTAACAAACAAATGCTTACTTCCACTGCAACCAATCAACAAGTCTACAGAAAGAACCCAGCAAGTAATGCGGTTTAAGACGCTCATGAGTTGTATGGCCTCACATCTATATTTAAGTGGTTTACTAGGAAGTTTCTAGAGTTAAACAACAGTTCATTCATGCAAAAGCTTGAGGATTACAACTGATAGAACCCAACATAAAAATAACAGAAGTGCAATTGTTCAACAATACAAGAAGACCCGCAAAATAATCACCTGTGCTGTAATTGAGATGGATCAGAATAATTCAGGATGCAAATACGACAACTATACAGCCCTAAGACTATATTTTTTTAGAGAAAAACTCCAGGCAATTCGTTGCTATAATTAGGGTTCATCATTAGCAAAAGCAGTTCATCCATATGCATCACCTATATCCTATAATCAGATGATTACATTCAAGAAACCCGCCAATTTACAATTGACAAATTTTATAAAATCCTAGCATATTGAACTCTTCCATTTCACTAGCTTGTCACATCACAATAATAAATCCTTCAGACTTGCTAAACTTCCAATAACACAGCATCCAATTAATTTGCTTCAAAACCAATAAATCACACGAGTACAATCAAGCATTCTATCGGAATCAGATAAGCATACTTCGAACCCTTGTCTAATTAGACACAGATTAAGTATACCAACGAACATGTGAACCTATAAAACCTTAAACCTAGTGAACCAAATAAGGTGTAGCTACAGAAATTGACGAAATTAGGTGTATTATACAGAAACGATCTTAAAAAATCTGACCTCCTCGAACTCGAGAATCAAGCTCTTTATGTTGAAGCATCTTTTTCCGGTACTCGGTAACAGCACCGCGGCGACGAACGGCATCTTCGCCCTCACTCGTCATCGGATAATCGTAGTCGATGGATCCCTGCGCTATTCCTGATTGATCCAATCGCTTCAAAAATAAAAGTCGATGGAGAGAATTTCCGACTTGTTGATCAAGAAAAGAACCGATTTGGGCATCTCTCGATAGTCTATACTCTATAATCCAATGCTCTATCTAATTAGTTGGGCTGATGGTTAATGGGCTGGTAATCATTGGGCTTATAATTATTTAGGCCCATGTTCTATGAATTTACATTTCACTATTTTCGGTACCAGATGTGTACCCCGCAATGCAGCAGGAGCAAATCCAACATATTTAAACGATTTCATAAATGTATTCGATTTACACCAAAAGCAAAGAATCATGAGATCGAGAGTGAGACTGAGAATTCTAAAGCAATTGAATGAGAGAACTTTTAATAAACTCATGGTGAATATCAGTTTGAATCTCACCTTGGGGGATGGGGAGAAGACATAGAGGTATACGAGGGTGAAGGCATGAGTGAAAGTTGTCAAAGGCATCTTGGAAACATGAAAAGAAAAAGTAATAATATGATTGGTAACTTGTACTATATGTTATTTTAATTGTAGATTAAGAGATTTTAAGACTAAATGCATAAAGTAGTAGTACTTAATGCATTATGAGTTGTTTTTAAGACTTTGTGCATAAATGTATAGTATTTTGTGCATTAATTATTGTTTTTAAGACTTTTGAAAAATCTGGTTTATAAGGTAGTATATATATTTGTTAGTAGCGGTGGCCAAAAACCGGTCCCAAGCCGGGCCTGATTGTTCCCAAGGTTGTGCATAACCGGTCCCGGTTAAAAAAGGTGAAGACCGATCAAGTCATTCTATAACCGGTTATCGGGTCCAGGTCCCGATATTAAAAAAAATATTAAAAATTGAGAATTTGGTATGTTAATCTCTCAACCAAAACACATACTTATAGTGTTTTGAGGCGAAAAACTACAAAAAAACAGCTCTCTAACGTCTCTCTAACGGCTATAAAACGAATTTCTGGCCCGGCCGGGCCTTAATCGGTCCCAGTCCCAAAAATCCGACAAAATGCATAACCGGTCGTAACTGGCGGTCCCATATCCGGTCCTCACCAGTCCCGGATCGGGACGATCCCGATTCTGATCCTCCAACGGTCCTAGTCGGGCCGGTTTGGCCATCACTATTTATTAGGGGTGGATTTGTTACGGTACCAAGTTTTTTTTTCCTACACCATCTATCAACTAAATTAATTGGTACATAAAATTATATACCATATACCAACCAATTGTACTCGATACCAATTTAACTGGTACAAACTTTTTTCGTATGGTACATGTTGGTACTGTTTTTGTACCAACTTCAAATCACATATATGAAGATTTGTCATCTTGTTCAGTTTTTGAGTGAAATTTTTGAGTTTGCACGTAATACATATCATGTTTACGGCTTTTATTTTTAAGAAATAAAACTTGCAAACATTCAAATACCTAATAAAAAAAGTCAGTAGTACAAAACTTAAAAATCAATAACTATGTTTTATAAATAAATAAATAAGTTGGTACTATGGTAGTACTATGGTATGAGACTTCTAATATAATGTACCAACTAAGTTTGCATACTTGATATGATACTACCAACTGACTATAACTGGTATCAGTTTAATCGATACAGTTGGTACACATATTGGTTTGTATGGTTGTAATTTCCATTTCCCATCCCTCATAATTGAAGATTTGTAATTACACCCCTCAAAGTTACCAATAATGTTTGATTCTTACAACTCATAATCACTTATTATTTTAATGATTGTGTAATTACACGTCAAAATCCGAATAACGGGATGAAGAAAGAAAAAAGAAATGTTTATATTTTGATAAGATAGCTACGTTTTATCATCTGTAGTATGATATAATGTGTAATGTGTAGATACGTCCTCGAATACGGATGATAACAAGATGGGTATTTTTAGAGTCCGTTTTCATGCAATATGGAATGTCTTCAATGGGTCTTTGATAACGCTGATAATTATGAAAACATTGTTTTGTTTTTGGTTTTATGTTTTCTGTAGACACAAAGAATAAAACATACAACCACAAGGGTGGTGCCTGATTGGTTTGAGCTTGGCTTCAAAGGTCAAAAGTAAGGTCTCAGGTTCAAATTCAAGGAGGAATAAAAATCCCCTTGTGGCCACGAATGTTCAAATGCGGTGACTCCGGGCTATCTGCAAAGCAGGTGGTCACCCTAGGATTAGTCGGCTCGCATAGCAGGTTGGATATTCAAGTTAATAAAAAAAAAAAAAAAACATACAACATAAAACTTAATCAAATGACACCTTACTTAACCTCTAAACCAAATTTTATGGGTACATACATAGAAACACACTCTTCAACATATACATACATGTATATATATATATATATATATATATATAGATACATTTGTGTGTATGTATAGATGGTCAAGACTTGAAAATGTGGATGAACAAGAGTGAGTGTAGAAAAAGGTGTGGACATGTGTACGGGTATTTTCTCATTCATCCGAATGCAATAATAAAACCAACCAATAAACACGTCTTTCTTTACACTTCATAAAATCCCTTCATCCCTTTCAAATTTTCCTCCCATTTCATCATAAATTTTAGGGCAAGAAAAAAAAACTAAGTGTTTATGTACATATTGTCATATCCCTTTTTCTTAACAATCAAACCCCCCCCCCCCCCCCCCTTTCTTCCCTTTTGCATTCTGTTATACACATATAATGGATGATGAAACAAAAGACACGAGCCCTTTCGACATGGAGGCAATGAGGATGAATCTTCCCGAAAGGCAAGGATCTATTTGTTTATATTATTTTGTATACTGTGTTTCAATGTTTTATGGGAATGTTATTTATCTGGCTCACGCACTATCAACTGATATAAGCCTTGATCACTGGTTCAACTATTCTTGCCCATTGTTTCCGTTTTTGCACGTCATTTTGCTGGGTTTTCCTTGTTGGAACTCGATACAAGAGATATACAGATATCCTTTTATCTAATAATCCACCATCACGTTTTATTTTCATCAAAACGGTTGGTTTTCATGTTGTTGTGTAAAAGGTCTATGTACATCATACTCTGAACCCTACCTTCAAATGAGATATATAAGATAAGTTTGTTTTGGTTGTTCGCGTTTTCTTATATATGTCTTTCTCGATGTAGAAAGGGAGGATTGTCCGTTTACTATGCTGGGAAATCGAGAACGTTTGAATGCATGGCGGATGTTCATTGCTTGAACGACCTCAAGAAACAAGATCGCTCTGTTGTTAAAGGGCGGAAGAAAAAGCTGGATGAGATCGTCCAACAACAAGTGCGATATCCTTGTCGTCCACCATCAGATACAGATCTTCGTGTTTCACCTATCGTAGGGTTGTAGATTTAGCAATCTCGTTGCCTTTTTGATGTCATAAAATAAGCTCGCAAGACTCAGTTTGCACAAGAATGTTGCTTGTGGCATTCTGTTTCGTGCAATTAATCTCAGTTTTACCAACACAAATCCCGAGAGTACTAAAAATGTAAGAAAATTGAAGATCTTCTGAATGGGTTGGACGAGCTAGTTGTTTAGATTCGAATGTTAAATTTTGTATTTTGAGTATTTAATTTGAGTTACATACAAGTACGTGTAACAATCAATGTAACGTTTAATTTTTTTTAACATTATTCGGTTTTTTTATTATAAATTAATGATGTATATGCATCAAATATTGTTTTGATCCATTGAAGGTTTTGTGTTTGAGGCGTATGTATGTTGTTTCTTGAACCTGTTGGCGGTCGTTACAAATGATATCTAATGTTCCAGGTTTACAGATTTCACTAATACAAAGAGACAATACGAATTTGGTCCTCAAACTTCATTTATTATGTAGAACGTCTTGTGGTATGCAGTTTTTTCACGGATTTGGCATCCACTCTAACGGACCCTCCAACCTTAAATTTAAGGGCAAAATGGTCTTTACATTATTTTCTTTTTTTTTTAACATTTTTTAAAAACCTGTTTAAGTAAGGGACCATGTTGTATGAATTAAAACTTGGAAGTCCAAAGCATAGTTTCATCATCTTCTTCGACGATGTACAAGTTTCTCCGATAAACTGTCGTTGAACCAGTTTTCTCATGCGGCTGCTAGTGAAACCCTCTGCCCGTCTCCCATTGAGATCTCCATTTTCTCCAACTTAACATTAAGAACAAAACCCAAAAACTTAAATTAAGAACCCTTAAATCAAACGCTAAAACCTCATATTAAAAAATGAGGTCCATTGGGCGTTGTACACAAACACACAAGAAGAAATCGAGTTCCATTGATCAAGCTTTATTTATAGTTCATGACACGTTTGATCAAGGGCTTTATTAAAAATTACTTAATTAATAATTAAATGATTTATTAAAATTCGTTGAGTAAATTACAGATTTGGTCCCTATGGTTATATCAAAATTGCTGATTGTGTCCCCCAAACGAATTAATTACATATATTGTCATCTTGGTTTCATTTTTGTTGCGGTTTGGTCCCTCTATCTAATTCCGTTAGAATAAGTTCCTTATATAAGGGGTAATTTTGTCTTCTTATCAAATAATTAAATACATTTGAAACTCAATTAAAGATTGCCACATGTCCAATCCATATCTAAGATCTCTTCCCATCTCTATCGAGTTCAAGCATCTCCATTGAATTCAAGCATCTTCGACTTCCTTCTCCATCTCCGGTTATCACATCCACGAGCGTCCTTCCCTATCTCCGACCACCACTAAATTCGTTCTCTTATCCCCACCCCAGCCAACACCAATTCCAGACTGTTGATCTATATAAATCTAAAACAAAAACAAATTTGGATGCAATCTTCTTCAAAAAGCAGCAAAAAAAAAACAGAAATCTAAAAACGAACAATATATTTGGTAGCAATCATCTTCAAGAACAACCATGATAAACATACTTCTCTAACCACCAAAAATTCGAAAAATAGACCTATTGTGGGCGGTAGCAACTTGCTGATGTGTTTCCTTCAGTTCGAGATGAGGGACGATGAATTGGGGGACATGAGATGGAGGAGAACTGTATGGGGGCAGGGTTGACGAATTTGGTCGAAGGGAGGGAAGTTGTTGACGGAGTTCTCTTTGTTGGTGGTAGTGATCTGAGCGAGAAGAGGGTGAGAGAAGGAGATGCATGGGAGGAATAGGTGGAGTTGGTGAGTGTTCGGAGATGACAGAAGATCGATGGTACCAGAGAAGAGGGTGGGGTGTTGACTGCCGCCGCTGAGATTCCGGGGGATGGGGACGAAAGCTATAATCATGTATGTATGTATGTATATATAATTATATACATCATCTTAATATCTAAAAGTATATTACTTTTTTTTTATAAAAATAACAAAAAAAATTAAAAGACCATATTACCCTTGACTTAACAGAGATAATGTTAATGGTGTTAATGCAAGGGATCTAATCCGCAACAAAATTGAAACCACAATGAAGATGTCTGTAATTAATTTGTTTGGAGGACCCAATCCGTAATTTGATATAACCACAATGACCAAATATGTAATTTACTCAATTACGTGTATCAAAAGTCTTAGCAGAGCGCAAATTACATTTTTGATTATCAACTACAATTCCTATTTTAACTAATTGTGATTTTTGTCATTGTAATTATCAATCTGTTTCACTTATGGTCCTTCATTAATTATTTTTTGTTAAAAAAAGTCCATTAACTAAGGGACTTTTTGGTCTTTTTACTAGTTATTTAATTTGTTTTTAAAACATTAAATACATATATATTATATTATAATATAGTGTTATTATATTATATTTTTGGGTTTGGAATATTTTATATAATTATATACATGGACTTGGGATCGTATTAGATGAGATTTGGGAGATCATATTTTTTTATTTGAAATTTAACAGTAAAACATTGTAAAGACAACTTTTACAGTGTTTTTTTATTGTGAAACTTAACTTTTTTATCTTTATAATATTTTTGCTATGAAGTTTAAAATGTAAAAATATGATCTAACGAAAATATATTGGTCTCACATGAACACAACCTTATGCACATATGTTATAAATATGATAACAATAATATATTATATAATAATAATATATTGCAATAAAATGATGATATATTATAATATAATTAATGATATAATATAATAATAATAACAATATATATTATAATAACACTAGAAGGGTAGACGCGCAATGCAGTGAGATAAATCTTCATTTTAATGTTTAGTTCTTATTCTTTATCTCTATCGATATAATATGATTTTATGTGATTTTTTAATGAAATATAAATTTAAAGATAACATAAAATTTTGAAAAAAAAATAAAATCGATATTAGTATCAAACTAACTATTTAATAGTGCTCGTTTTTTGGTGTAACTTCTTTAATTCAATTTTTTATTATAATTTAATTTAAATTTAATAACAAAGTAATTTATTTTTAATTTAATAATATAATTTTTTATAAAGATAATAATTAAACATTTTGTTAGAACTCAATTATTATCTTAATTATATTTTATATTTTTTATATTTATGATGAATGTTTATATTGTATTTGATTATGTTTATCTGCAGTTAATTACATGAATTTAAAAATAAAGCTTTAATAAGTTGTACTTACGAAAAATTACTTGTAATCTTGAATTTTAAGTAATATATCAATAAACAATATTTCATGCATAAAAAATAACTTTTAAGAGTTTTTATAAAAAAACAATAAAAAACGAAAACTTTTCTTAACCAATGGGTTATTTAAAGTTATGTACCTTATAAATATGATAATAATAATGATTTATAATATAATATAGTCATGGTATAATCTAACATAATATAATTATAATATAATATAAATAACAATATATATTATAATATAATAATAATATCATAACAATAACAATATATATTATAATAATGCAGCGAGATACATCGTGATTTTAATATTTTATTTTATTCTTTATTTCAGCTGATGTTATAATATGACTTTATGTGATTTTGAGAAAGCGATGATATTTTTATTTTTGAATAAAATATATGTTTGAAGATATCATAAAAATTTGACAAAAATATATTGATATTAATATCAAATTAACTATTTGAA